CACCAGCACCTGCTGTTCCCCCTAAGAAATCTATATATTATACTTACACATTTATTTGAATGGCGGTGTTTCCTGGTGAAGGTTGATGTGGTGACAGTGGGATCCGTCCCCATCTGGCTGGAGCGTGGCTGTACCGGCAGCTGTGCCGTGTCTGACACCTGTAGGAGCAGTAGTGACGGTACCGGGGTCTGTAGGGACTGTTGTCAGGGGGAGGGGGTGTAACAGTGGGGTTCCTAACACTGACTGGACAGGACCTGATCGTGCAGGTTGGTTGAAATGTTAATAACCATCATTAGTCAACAATCTTCCCCTAATACTGTCGCGGTTTTACAATATAACTACAAGAAAGTGGTGTTGACGAGCTGAAAGAACAAATTTAAAAGCTGAATATTTCATGGGATTGTACTTTTCAGCTTAAAGTCTACGATGTTTCAACTGCGTTGTAAGTGTATTTGTGACTCTCTACATAGTTAAGTAAATGACATTGACTATGTCACTGCCACTGTATATTCCACCCAGTGACCAGTTGTGGAGGGACGTTTTTGGAAGATTCTGGCACCATCTCGTCCCCAGGTTATCCGGATAACTACCCCAATAACCTGAAGTGTGAATTCCTTTTCCCGGATACCGGTCAGATGATCACTATCACGTTCAAGGGCTTCCATCTGGAAGGACGTGATTGGCTCTCCCGTTGCCATGACAGCATCCTGGTCTACGCCCACAATAAACTCGTCGGTGAGACACATCAATCAGTGTCACTGTTTTGAAAATTCTACGATACTTTTTCAGTATTCGGATGATTCGTTGGTCCTCGTTTTTACTTTCCTGACAATTTTTCTTCACACATTGCTTCCTGCCGACTCTCAGACGAGTACTGCGGAGAGGAGAACCCTGGGACTATCATCTCCCTCGGACTCGGAGTCCGACTGGTCTTCATGTCTGACTACAGCGTCGGCAAGACTGGCTTTACTCTGACGTACAGCCGCACTCATAGTGAGCATACACCACATTAGTCAACAATTAGGAAATGAACTGTGGCCATGTTTACGTTGTTCACAAGTCTGTTTTGTAAATGCAAGCACTGGTACGTATATGACATTGTACTATAGCAACTAAGTACGAAAACGGATAACAAAAACACATATTGAGTTGGAAAAGAAAAGCTCCAAATCTAAACGGTTCCAAATTTAATCTTCACATGAAATTTCCTTATATGTTGGATACACAACTATTCTATAGGCTGTTTTAAATTCTAGGATTCAAACCATTTGTTTTATGACCACATTAACGTATAAATACATGTTTGTGAAATTAAGAGTAAAGAATCAGTTTTAAACCTGTCTCTTGCTTGATGTCTAGGGTCGGACGCCACGGACGGCCTCGGATGAACATCTCACAAACTGGCGCTCAACTTAAAGATCCGTGGGACGTCAGCAAGTGTTCACTAATGACAACCTAGATATCATCAAGTTAAAGAATCACTCAATTTAATTGTTAACGTCAATAGCAAGATTAGATTACAGCCGTAACAGGCTTTAGTTTGACTCGTAAAATATCGTTATTGTGGATAGACCTTTACTCTGATTTGCTTTTTCGACAAGCAATCGCATTATGCCTAAAGTCACAACTCGACTTGATGGTATCTGTAGCCTGTTTATGTACCAGACAGAAAAGTGTCATAGTAAAGGTTAAATTTGTACCTCCGCTTCACAAGGCTTTGCACAAATTTGACTGTGTTGATGATAATAAAAGAACCTTTTAATTCCTTATAATGTTATCATCATAATGTCATTGTTTACTAGTTTTTAATTTGTTATCATGTTGATCTTGTAATATAGTTATAGATTTGTTATCATGTTAATCATGTAAAATGCGCAATTCAGCATCTTTGTACACAAATGAAGCTGCCATGTATTTTACTGAATTGTGAACGAAGTCAATAAACTCAATATATAAAAAACAACGGATTACAGTACTTGCCACTAATACAATGAAAACTCGAAGATATAGACTATCCCGAGTTCACTCTAGTCCAAAATGTAAAAAAAAGTTGCGAAAACATTCAAAGAAAAGAACGTTGTCCACAGACACTGAAA